GTTCATGACAGTTTTGGATTAAGGAGCATTTTCATTTTGTGCTGGACGCCACCAATTATGTAGGCAGCCCAGCTGCTGAGGCCTCTTTGCCTTCAGGTAGTTCCTGCTTTCGCGTTACATGGGTCCACAGACTACAGTCACACAAATCCGAGCTTCATTTATTTAAACCCTCATACAGTCTTAGAATTTCACTATCTTCCTGGAGCACCTGCTAGCTGTCTGTGCTTCACACTGTTTGTATTAGTTTCTTCCAGTTTCTAATCTTACAGCTTCTAACTTGGGAGCTCAGTTCCTTCCCAGCAGCCTTACCGATCATTCCCCCGAGCTGGGGACCGACCGTAGTAATGAAAGCCACACACCCAGCGGGGCCGGTGATCGTGGTCACGGAATAAGCCAAACCCGGGGGAAATGCTCCCTCCCAAGTATTGAACATGACACTTTTCGTTTCCCTTATTTGAAAAGTGAGCACAATAAAAACACCCATCAAATATATTTAAGAATTACATCAGAAATGCATAAACGGGTAGATGTGTTTAGTGCAATAGCTCATAGTTAACTCCCTGAGAGGAGTAAGAAAGAATGAGTGATGTGTGCACGCTGCTAGCCCAGGAGAAGAGCGGGGCTCTGGGAGGGGCACAGTGAGAGGGATGAAAGGTCGTGTCCACCTGTGTGCCCTCCCTGGGCCTCTGTTTTTGTATTTGTTAAACCCTATTGTAGACGGGTCGATTGTGGATTAATTAGATAATACATCAGATGCCTGTGATGTTGTCTGAAATATGTTGAATAAGACCGATTATAAGTGGGTTTCTCTATTCTGTTCCGAGACGGGCCTTTCCAAAAGCAGAGAGGAAACACACGTCTTTTTGGTAGCGGAAAAAGATTTAAATTTAATCTCTGGTACATGCAGTTCTGATACCTATGTATATGCAGATTCTGAAGTGAGATTTAGTCTCTATATTGGGCATGGACTGAGATAGTCTCCGCATGTTCTTTGATGACACACAAAGAGATTAGCTGTAGAGAAAAGACACAATATTTTACTTCCTGTATGAAGAAAGGCGTTTGCTTTGAGCTGTTTCCTCCTCCTTCTGTGCTCATGCCTGAAACTCTGTCCCCGGGGCCCCCGGCGATCCCAAACTGCATTCTCCCCTGCTTCCCGAGGGTGGGTGAAATTACTGTCCCTTCCTCGCAGAAACAGTGGGGCTGTTCAGGTCTCCAGCCAACGCCCTCCACCTGGGAGGTGGCAGGGCAGCCACACGCCATTGCCTTGCCCGTTGTCCTGCTGTTCCTAGGATGAGACAGCGCCTCAGGGGATCTTAGGAGGATCTCTGGGTTTTACTAACAGTAAAGCTGTGAAGCCCTCATTTGCCCGGGAGAATGAGATTCCCTCGAATACCTGAACACAGTACTGTGGAAGCAGCTGAGTTATTAAGATTCGGACGTCCTGAAGGGGGCTGTTTGTTTTTCTTGGGTATTTTGTTTCCAAGTGGATGACAATACGTTATTTTCATCAACTTTTAAAATTTAATTATAATACTATTGTTTCTTACGTTATAAACTAATGCTCTATAATTACAATGAAATTACTTATAGTCGTCATACAGTGTTACCGCTGATTACTATATAGTAAGCGTTACAATTTATTACCAATAGCTGTACGTATTTTGCTTATAATATGATGTTTAATATCATGGTCCTGCTATTGCAAATTATGTAGTTTTTAAACTCATGAGAGGAAGAGGTTTATCCATTATATATGGTAAGGGGAAAATGATCCAAATATGGTCAGATTTATACTGCTGTTAACTCTAGCACATAAATGTCAATACAATGCCAGGTGTAACCAGATAAATTGAGGCAGTAGGACTCAGTCCACAAATTCTGTGTATTTATTAGATGACCATAGCGCAGTTGCTTTTTACATTTGCCTTAAATTCTATAGACTTTCATTCCAAAGCAAAAGACTCTAGACAAGCTACAATTGTTGACTCTCCTGATTTCAGTCACTTTAGGTAATGATTAAACCTGACCTAAATGTACTGGCCATTTAGAATTTCAGAAGAAATATTGTTTTATTGATTTTTTTTTTTTTTATTGAGGTCATGTCCCTCTAAAATGCATCTGGATGGATATCAATGTCCATCCAGAAGACAAACTATAGTGAATTCGCCGTTATTTATAATGGATACATGTTTTGATGAATAGTATATGTTGCGGACTGAATTTTGTGTCTCCCCCAAAATTCATCAGTTGAAATCCTAACTCCCAAGGTGGTGATATTAGGAAGTGTGTCCTTTGGAAAGGGGATTAAGTCATGAGGGTGGAGGCCCCACACATGGGATTAGTGTCTTTATAAAAGGGACCTCAGAAAACTGTCTTGTCCCTTCCTCTGTGTGGGGGCGCAGTAGGAAGATATCATCTAAGACGGCAGTCCCCAACCTTTTTGGCACCGGGGACCAGTTTCATGGAAGACAGTTTTTCCACGGACCGGGGCGGGGGATTTCAGGATGATTCAAGTCCATTACATGTGTTGTGCAGTCTACTTCCATCACTACTATATTGTAATATACAGTGAAATAATTATACAACTCACCATCGTGTTGAATCAGTGGGACCCTGAGCTTGTTTTCCTGCAACAAGATGGTCCAATCTGGGGGTGATGGGAGACAGTGACAGATCATCAGGCATTAGATTCTCATAGGGAGTGTGCAGCCTCCATCTTTCACATGTGCAGTTCACAAAGGGCTCATGCTCCTGTGAGAATCTAATGTCACTGCTGATCTGACAGGAGGCAGAGCTCAAGTGGTCATGTGAGTGATGGGGAGATGAAGCTTCTCTTGCTTTGCCTGCCTCTCACCTCCTGCTGTGTGGCCCAGTTCCTAACAGGCCATGGACCAATAACCTGCCACAGTTCAGGGAGTGGGGCCCCCTGATCTAAGAGGAAGAATACTATGTTTGGTAGAAGGACAGTGTGTTCCCTGTCCCGCCCCCATGAAATTCCTGGTGTGGACCGGTCTCTTGAGAGTGCTGAGTTGTGTCTTTCGAGAGTGCTGAGTTATGCTGATCACGACACCTCTGATCACCTTGAGGGGTGCTGTCACTCCCGTGCCTCACATGGTGACCAGATCAGAGAAAGGACTCAGCCCTCAGGTGCTGGCACCATAGCCAGTGGCCAGTGGCGCCTCGGGGTGTGGCACGGGAGGTAGAAAAACTTGGCATTCTGTGGGCCAATGTGGAGCATTAGGCCTGGAAACTCACAGAAAATCTAAGCATAAGGCCCTTCATTCCTCCTGTAACTCCTTGACGAAAGTGCCATGGTGCCCGTGAGTTTCCATGATGGCAGGCCACTTCCCTCCTACTGCCTCTCAAACACACGAAATCTAGTATCAAGACAAACAAAAATCAATGAGCAAGAAGATTCAGCAAATGGATTAGCAGATGATTAAAATACCTAATGTATAACTGTGCTCATAGTTTAGAAAGTCTAGATAAGTGGACAATTTGAGGGAAAGACTAACCTGGGTCAAAAGAAGAGGGAAACACAATTTCATACTATACTGCAAGACTCCATGAACCAAAACAGCATGGTACTGGCACAAAAATAGGCAGACGGACAAGTGGAATAGAGTGGATAACCCAGAAATGAAGCAGCACATATGTAAGAAACTGATCTTTGATAAAATTGATAAAAATAAACAGTAGGGAAAGGACTCTCTGTTCGGCAAATAGTGCTGGGAAAACAGGCCAGCCACATGAAGAATGAAACTGGACCCTCCATATCACCATATACAAAAATTAACTCAAGGTGGATTAAAGACTTAAATGTAAGATATCAAAATAACAAAATCCTAGAAGAAAACCTAGGAAATACCCTTCTGGATATTGGCTTTGGCAAGGAATTTATGGCTAAGTCCTCAAAAGCAATTGCAACAAAAACAAAAATTGACAGTGGGACCAAACTAAAGAACTTCTGCACAGCAACAGAAATTATCAGTGAAGTAAATGGACAACCTGCAGAATGGAGTAAAATATTCACTATGCTTCTCATAGAGGTCTCATGTCCAGAATCTACAAGAAACTTACATCAAGAAACAAAAACAACCCCGTTAGAAAGTGGATAAAGGACATGGACAGATACTTCTCAAAGAAGACGTACAAGTGACCAACAAATGAAAAAATCCTCAACATCACTCATCATCAGAAAAGTGCAAATCAGAACCATAGTGAGAAACCATCTCACTCTAGTCAGAATAGTTATTACTAAAAAGTTAGAAGCTAACAGGGTTGGAGAGGCTGCAGAGAAAAGGGAACACTTATACACTGTTGGTGAGAATGTAAATTGGTTCAGCCATTGTGGAGAGCATTTTGGAGATTTCTCAAAGAAGTAAAAACAGAACTACCATTTGATCTCGCAATCCCATTACCTAGTATATACCCAGTGGAAAACATATCATTCTATCAAAAAGACATATGCACTTGTATGTTCCCTGCAGCACTATTCACAATAGCAAAGACACGGAATCAATCCAAGTGCCCATAAATGGTTGACAAAAAAAAGAAAATGTGGTAAATATACACCATGAAATACCATGCGGCCATTAAAAAAGAATGAAGGCATATCGTGTGCAGCAACATCAATGGGAAGGTGGAGGCCATGATCCTAAGTGAATTAATGCAGAAACAAAAATGAAATACTGCATGTCATCACTTATAAGTGGAAGCTAAATTTTGGATACACATGGACATAAAGATGGGAATAGACACTGAGGACTTCAAAAGGAGGGAGGAGCCGGGCGCAGCGGCTCACGCCTCTAATCCCAGCACTCTGGCTGAGGCAGGCGGATCACCTGCGGTCAGGAGTTCAAGACCAGCCTGGTGAAACCCTGTCTCTACTGAAAAAATAGCGTGCACCTGTAATCCCAGCTACTCAGGAGGCTGAGGCGGGAGAATCTCTGGAGTCCAGGAGGTGGAGATTGCAGTGAGCCAAGATCGCACCACTACACTGGACGAAAGAGCGAAACTCCATCTCAAAAAGAAAAAAGAAAAAAGGAGGGAGGGTGTAAGGAGGCCAAGAACTGAAAAACTATCTGTTGGATTCTGTGCTCACTACCTGGGAGATGGAACCAATCAAAGCCCAGACCTCAGCATCATGAAATATATCCAGGGAACAAACCTGCCCGTGTACCCCCTGAATCTAAAATAAAAATAGAAATAAACAAGGAAGACAGAAATAAGCAACACTGGAAAAAATTGTAAAAGTTCTCAAAGATTTTCCTCCAAAAAAGGTTCCAGAGCCAAAGTCACATTTTTCGGATTTTTTCAGAGGCAACACTCCCAAGGCTGTAAGACTCGACTGAGTGTTACAGGAAAGGTGGAAACACATCCGTTTATTTTGTGGTGCTGCCCTGACTCCCTTACAGAAACCTGGCCGGGACAGCGCAGAGCTGCAGACCCGTCAGACGGAACGGATACACATCAGTCTGGATGCCACGGACGGTGCTCCCAAAGCAGCTCTCACTCTGAAAGGACACTCAGCAGATCTGGGGGCTTCGGGTGTGAGATGAGCTCTGTGTTGAGTGGGGAGGAACAGCTGCCGTGCACCACACTGAAACTCTGAGACCGGCGGGGAACTACCTGTCATCATTCAGATCGACACCAGAGCAGCCTGTAATAGAGACTCCGCGTCCCACACCAGAGCGGCCTGTAATAGAGACTCCGTGTCCCACACCAGAGCGGCCTGCTGGCACATCCCGGGCTTTCACCCCTGTAACATCTTAAGAAGGATGGAAAGACCAATCAGTACAAAAAATAACCTGAACATGTTACATCTGTAACTTGGGGAAATTAGTTCTAAAGCTATCATTATTTGCTAATGATACGAGTATTTATTCAGGAAGTCAGAAGGAGACAATGGAAGACTTAGATACAGGCGGAGCATCCCAAATCTGAAAGTCAGAAATCCAGAAGGCTCCAAAATCCAAAGCTTTGTGAGCACTGACCTGATGCGACAAATAGAACATCCCACACCTGACCTCACATGGCAGGTCACAGTCGAATGCCGGCACAGAACACATGGTGTTTTCAGTGCTCCCATGGGAATAATAAAATTACCTTCCGGCTATGCGCATAAGGTGTGTATGAAACATAAATGAATTCCTGTTTATACTTGGTTTCCATTTTTAAGATATTTCATTATATATATGGAAATATTTTCAACTGTGAAATAATCTGAAATCTGAAACACTTCTGGTTCCTTGCATTTCAGATAACGGATACCCAACCAGTAATGACGGAGATAATCAAGGATTTGAGAACAAAGCAAAAGCATTCTCAAAAGTCATTGAAAAAAAAAATCATCCCAGAAATACCAGGGAAATAGATGGTTTTTAATTTTTAAAGAGTTTTGTATTATTTTAATTGGCAAATCATAATTGTACATGTTGATGAGGTACAATGTGACATTTTGATACATGTATACATTCTGCAATGATCAACTCAAGGTAATGTTTTTTAAAAATTTGCAGGAGAAGAAGAATCACAAATAGTCACAAATAGAAAACAAATGTACAGGCTGGGTGCAGTGGCTCAAGCCTGTAATCCTAGCACTGTGGGAGGCTGAGATGGTGGGTTACTTGAGTCCAGGAGCTCAAGATAAGCCTGGGCAACATGGAGAAAACCTGTGTCTACAAAAACTACGAAATAATTATCCAGGTGTGGTGGTGCATGCCTGTAGTCCCAGCTACTTGGGAGGCTGAGGTGGGAGGATCACTTGAGCCTGGGGGACCTGAGGCTGCAGTGAGCTGTGATTGTGCCACTGCACTCCAGCCTGGTTGACAGAGTGAGACCTTCTTTCCAAAAAAAAAAAAAAAAAAAAAAGGAAAGGAAAAAGAAAATAAACATACAAAACAGTGATAAAATCAGTGACGAAAGAAAGTCATTCATTTAGCAAATACATGTTGAGATATTGAACCCCTTTGAGTCAGGCATGGTTTTAGGCCCTGAAATGAAAATTAACACCAGACCTCCAGCCTGAGAATTTGCAGGAATGTTCTAAAAGTGATGATGTAGTGATGGAAAAAGCTGTGGAAAAAAGTGAGAAGTGCTGTCCAGTGTTGGTGGGAGAATGAAACGGGGGTGTGTGGAGAGCGTTTGTGAGGAGCCTCCGCCTGGAAGGAGCTCAGATCCTGCCGTTGGTGCTCCAAGCTCAGACTGAGTGGGAAGTTCGCGAGACCCTCCCAGTGGCTTCCACTGCAAACAGAAAACCGGTGGACATGAGGATGGGAAAGGTGGTGGATCAGCGTTTTCATTAGAGGTTTTGATTTATTCTGCAATAAATGGAACTCGTTCGTAGGGTAGCTTTTTAAGAATGGCTCCAGCAATTATTCTGGATTATTCACTGATTTCTCCTGAGACCCAAGGCTGCGATCGGGAAGAAGCACCTGCTCGTCTTCTAGTTCCTCTGTGTACAGTATGTGCTCGGGTCGTCCTTAACGAACGTCCCTGTCTCCTGTCTCCTCTTGTCCAGACTCTATACTCTTCCCTGCTTATTACCAAGGGAAGGATTCAGAGACAGGGTGTGGAATAGACATTGCTCTCATGTCCATTGTCCAGGTGGAGAAATAAACCTTTCCACATAGCCAGGACCCCTAACCCCAATCCCTTCTTTTGGTCACCAGATTTTTAGCTGGTGGTTTCTTCCAAGGGTGGATCTTCCTTCCTAACTCGCACACATGAAACTCCTCTGCTTCTTGTGCCCATCATGGCTGACAACTTCAATGAAGAAGTTTTCCAATCTGGCCAGGACAAAAGTCACAGAACATAATTTTTATGGGATTAAACCTTTTCTGCTCTTGTAGTTTCAGTAGATAATGTTTTCTGAAACCAGCTAACAAGAAGATGTCAACACTTACGGTGATTTATGCCTCTGATTTTTAGGAGAAAATGGTAAATGACAAGTACCATGTCTGAGATTTATTAAAACAAAAGAATTTCAGAGAATGTCATGGGGTGGTTTGAGGTCTGCTTAGTTTCCTGTGTCTTGTACATCTGCAGGGCTGCATGACCCTAGAAGTTGTGTCTGAGCCCCCTGGAAAGGCCTCTGGGCTGTGGATTGTGCCTGTGATGGAGAGAGGTGTCCTGGCCACCAGGTCCCCTGAGGGGCTCCCATTGCTCATGTCCTTCAGGCATTTCCTAAGAAAAAACTGATGTTCTTTTCCAGGAATCTTACCATGGACTTTTTCTTTGGAAATTTATCATGCTGGCAGGTGGAATGGGTGTCGTTCAGGACATTTGCCATTTAATCGAGACATAGAAAAGCCATGTTTACTTGCCTCAAAGAAGGCCCAGTGATGAAGAAAGAAACGAAGTTTCCTTGCACGTCCACGACCAGAAGGAAAGTCATGACAACCCGCTCCTGTTGCACCTCGAGAGGACATGTGCTCTGGCCTCTGCTTACCAGACATGAGAGTGGCTCGTCCATCCACTGGGAGGCGGCTTGCACGCTCACACTCGCGGTGAATCTGCCAACAGTTCTCAAAGCTGAGGAAGCATACGGGCTCTGCCAGCGGCTGGGTGGCGAGGCTGCATTCCGTGCTCATCTGCTCCATCTGCAGAGCCAGCCTTGAATTTTAAAGTCCTGTCTTCCTGGACTCCTGTGATGACTCAGTGTGATAACGCATCAGACTACAGGGATCTTAAATACGCAGGGACAAAATAAGAGAAGCACTGATTTCGCCAAGGAAGTCCAGGTGTTCCCATTGACGCCGCATCTGAGAACGGAGATGATAGGGACAAGAGTCCACACCAGGCTATCTCCACACAGCGGCGCTCGGTAGAATTACAGATGGCGGAGTCTTGCTGAGCAGTGTGGACGAGGGTAAAGATTTCTGAGTATGCTTTTCATTGTAAGTTTTGGAGGCGTCCATTAGGGCCACTCAGCAGAGGTCTGAATCATCTGATTGCTCTGTTTGACTCAGTGTTGGAAGCCTGTTGAACAGGAAATGAGCTATTTCTTGCTCAACCAGAAATTGCAGCATCTTTGAAGTTTGGGAAGTTAATTTATGAATTCCCAACTTTCCAGCTACATGTCCAGTGTCTGGTCATTGTTTTGATTTGTTGCAATCTGTGAAAGTACTTTTTTTTTTTTTTTTCAAAGTCAAATTGCCATATTGGAAACCAAGAGCCACCATTTTTAAACAATTAGAGAGTAGAGATTTGCTGCGACTTTAGCTGTACGGTGCTTAAGATCGATTTAGTCTATTAGAAACCACTATGTTCATGGGCCTCATCAAAATTGATAAGTGATTGGCACTGTCTATAAAATTATGCCATATTGTATAAAGTAAAATTGCTTCTTAACTATTTTTGTGTTGCTATAGTACATATTTCTGAAAAGCTCTTAGACTTAATGCAGCCATTGTCATTGATAAAACCATTAATGAACCCTATACACAAATGAACTTTGAATCCTGTGGTCACTGTTAAAACAATTTTCGACCTTGATTTGCCATGTGGGGATTGTTAAACTAAGCTGCTGTAACAGGAGACTCAGACTAATTCAATGAATTGGAAAATACGGAATTTCTTCATACAGGAACTCTGAAGTGAACATTTCAGGCTGGTAGGCTGCCCTGGTGCCCTCTGCCACTCAGGGAACCAGAATGACAGTGGAGGCTCTGTCACTTCCAACGCGAGGCTGCAAAGGTTGCTGTACGTGCTCTTTCTAGCCAGCAAGAAGGCCTGAAGGGCAGGCACCCCTACTGCTCTCTACGTTTCCCTTGAGGAGAGCCAACTCTTGGGGCCACAGCCAGCGACAAGTGGTTTGGAAGCGGGGTTCCCATCTGGCAGACACCATACTCCTACCTGCAACCCTTCTGTTGTAGAAAATTGGCAAAACGGATTTGGGTGGACAACTATCAGTCTCGATCACCGTTCTGTTATGTTATAAGCTGAATCCCAGTTATGAGATCCTAAGTTGGCTATAATTTCCAAGTGTCTATTGACAGCTGGTATAACATCTTTATTCCAATTTGAAAATTTGGATCAATAAATATTGGAGATATATTTCCAAATCAAGACTATAACTCTGTTCACCTCTTACCCTGTTAAGAAACCTAAAGGCATTTGACATATACTCTTTTTCATTAGATGTCCAAGAGAGGAGACGTGTGTTCCAGGACTGTGGTCCTGAGATGGCATGAAGGCGAGTGACGGGGTTTGCGGCCGTGGGCGAAGGTCTGGGTCCCGGCGGACAATGGTGCTTCTCTCTGAACTAAGACGCAGTTAGATTATTGACCGCCAGGTGGCACCACGGAGAACAGAAAGGTCTGCGCCAATCACAGGGAGTTGGGAGTGCTGTTTGCTCAGGGATCTATATTCCATTGTCGCAAAAGGTGGCCATTCCTGCCACCTCTGTGCAGTCAAAGCTGATTGAAGAAAGAACAATGTTCTCTTTCTAGATTTTATTCTCTTAAGTAGAAATGAATTATAACCTGTAGTAATGCTATCAAGTTAGACATTAGACTATCCACAATGTGGTCATAAACCAAGAGATGCAGACAAATGGCAACTACATTATTTTAAAATGTGCATTTTAATTTATGTGACAGGAAGTTTAAAATCCAGTTGGTTTTTAACATTTTTGTGTCTAACTGCTTGTTGTCAAGAGCTTTCCCAGGAGGAGAGATTGTCTAAGACCATTGTGCATCTTTGTCCACCGTGAACTTTGGTTTCATTTTGCAGCGAGAAAGGGTGGGGTGGCACCGATTTGAATGCAGCCCACTGGCCTGTCGGTGCGATTCCTCATTGGCCACCCTGGCCCCTGAGCGGGGTTGGAGCTTCCCTTTGCAGGTTGGTGCACAAAGACGTGGCGTGCTGCTCTGGAAACTGCTCTGGGAAACTGCTCATGGCCTCACAGGCTAACGGACTGTGTCATTGTCACATGCCGCAAAACAATCTGCACTTGTAGGACTCAGCTTAGCTTTAGAAGTTCCCTGAGACTTTGAGAATGCCAACGGATGCATGCTTTCGTGAGCCCATGCCATTGAGTAAACTTGGTGGAATCATTCTGTGTGAAGCGTTAGGTGGCGTGGGGATGATGCAGAGACTATTTCTGATGAGTCCCTGCCCAAAAGGAAAATCGAATGATGAGGCAGCAGGAGTCACGTCTAAGTGAAAATACAGAGACCGAGCTGTAGGGGGTGAGGAAGGAGGGACTTTTCTTCCTTTGCCACTTTCACTGGTTATTTTATGTGCTTGAAAATAGCCACAACACTTTCTTCCCTCCATAAAGGGAATGATAGCTTTGGTCTAGTTTGTATATTTCTCTCTTCAGCTCTTATGTCTCCTAGCAGGTCTGACTATATAGATGGTTCCATTGTTTCTTCTGTATGGTCCTAAT